GGCGCGGCGGAAAGAAACTAAGCGGAGCAAAACTCGCACCACGATGCGAATTTGTTTTCAGTCAAGCGTGTTTTTATCTGCACTGATGCTGTAGTGGAGCTCCTGGCGCATGTTGAGATCTTATACCTCAAACCTATATTGCCTTCCTCTGAGCGGCCAGGCCAGGGCCAGGAGCAGCCAGGAGCCTATCACGGGATTCGCTACAACTTCGGAAGCTCCCACGCATCCCCTCATGTTTGCAGGGGATCGGGACTTCATCAAGCACTCGGGCCTACTCTGGTCCTCCTTCCCCCCCCACCCCTAATGACGCAATATGCAAACGAAGCTCGCATGTCGTGAGCGGGGCGGGGGCGGCGCGGGGGGCGGCAGTGCGCACCTCAGAGTCAAAGGGAACGGACTGGGGAGTGGCTGCGATCAGGGGACCGGGCGCGGAGTGGAGGTGGTGACGGTGATGGGGTGGGTGGAGGAAAGGGGATGAGGAGGGGGCGACGGAGAAAAGGCATTCCATGCGGGGGTGGTGAGGGTGGGGTGAGGAGCTGGAGATAGGTGAGCAGCAGCGAAGTCAGACTCGTTTCGAACACGAAGTATGCGTCTGCGTCCTGGGCGGTATGGTTTGCGGTAAGTAAACGTGGCGAGGAAACTGTTGTGTGCATGTGTGTGTCCCTATTGCGCCCTATTGGGAACAGGCCGACTCGTGCTGCGGTTATTCGCCTCTGAGACGATTCGTCCTCAACAATTCGTCCAATGATTACTCGCCATTCGATTTTTTGTCCTTGGTAACTTTGTCCCCATTTGTGATTATAGTAATCTGATAATCTGAGTGAAGGAAGAAAAATTAAAACTGGGGATGACATATCTTCGGACGAGTAAAAATGTGACATAGCTGAGGACAATTGAACTCAGTACCAGTCCTGGTCAGAGGGACGAATTACGATGGGACGAATCGCCATGGAGCAGGCTGACTCGTACTACGGTTATTCGCCGTCTCTATGTGTATGTGTGCGCATGCGTCTGTCCCGACCAGCATTTTTAACCAGCATCAGTGATATGACAGAACGCTCATCGATAATCTGCCGACACCGGTCGACACAGTTTTGATTATAATTCGTGCAGAGCCATAGCATCATTTCAGTCTTTCTGTCTTTCCGAAAATCTATACTGCTTGTTTGTTTGAACTTGGGGGCCCGGATCGCCAAATTATTTCTGGGCGGACGCGGTCGGGCCCCCGTGTCGGGCGGGGCGCGGGCGCGGGGGGGCCCGCCGGCCATCCCCTGCCGTGGGAGCGGCCCCACATGTGTATGATTCGCCCTAATCACCCGCCTGGCCGGCCCGGGCCGGACCGCACCGCTGCTGCTGCTCGCTCACAACACCTCCCCCCCCACCACTTTTCGCCATTCATTTATTCATTCATTCATTCGCGTGATAATGATTGGAGCCGCTGCTCCCCATTATTCGCCCGGCGATCATAATAAGAACTCTCCCGACACAAACACGTGTGGAGAGGCGTTAGCGTGTTTACCGCGTGCGAAGGAGGACAGGCGTGTCTGCTTGTGGCGGCGCAGAGAGTGAGAGAGAGAGAGAGAGAGATTGGGATGGGACGGGTGAGGGGTGCGGGCTTTGTGTGCAAGCTATGGGTGGCGCGCGGACGGACCATATAGCACCATCACTATGGAAAAGAGGGAGAGGGGGAGGAGGGGGGTTCTCGAGCCGAAATATATATATAATGCCGTGTTTCGCACCTCTCCGCCACTCTAAAAGTGGACTTTTCGACCCCCCACCCCCTCTCCGCGCTTTGCTCTCTCCGCACTATACACTCCGACCCGCAGCGCGCCAGGCCGCTCTCCCCTTTCTCTCCCAGCCCGCCTGGGCCTCCCTTTGCGCATTGCGGTCCGGTCCGTCCCGCCCAGCTCTACCAGTTCTACCATACCACTACCATCACTCTCCCAGTTCTCCCACTTTCTACAAGTGCATCGGGAGCGCCACCCACGCGGCACGTCAGGATGGATTGCCCGGCCCCTATTTCAATTATACTGGCCCCGTCTCTCCGCACGGTAAAAATAGTTTCTAGTATTTCAAGACGACCTGGTCTTGGATGCCATTAGCGTTCTCCATAAGATCCAAGCAGACCGCGGGTCTTGAAATACAAGAAACTTTTTTGCGATACGGATTAACGCTCGGGCCCCGCGAGAAATGCGCCGGAAATACTGCAGAATGTAACTACATCTATTATTCTAGATTTTTCAATTCACATAGGGATTTGTTTTTAGAACAGGAAAGAAGGAGCCGTAGGTAGTTCTCACCTCGACGGGTGCCCTCCGTGCGGCGGTGCGGGCTCGGCCCGGTGCTGCGGCGCTGTCAGGTCGGCTCGAGCCGGCCACAGGGGCGCCGAAGGAGCGCCGCAGGCGGGCGGAGTTCTCTCCTCTCCAGGCGGGCTCCAGCCATACATCATCATAGCGGAGCCGGGCGGCGCCGCGCGGCGCGGCGCGCTGTCCTGCCAGAATATGGCTCAAGTTACGCCCCTCGCCAGTAGCCCCCCTACCCCGCGGCCTGCACGACGACACGTCCAAAGTTTGGTCGGTCGGGAAGACTCACTCGCTCCTTGTCCTCGGACTCGTGTGAGGCGAGTGGGCTCTTGCCGAGCGGACTCGGCGGGACCGGGCGCAGAGGCTGCGGCACTCTGCAAGCAGACTGTATATATATCGTTGTTAATTTACAATATTTATTGTATAACTTTTGATTTACAATCGATCGGAAACATAAATTCACGACAAAACCGTTATTGCCTGTTAAGAATCTCAAGTGATTACTACGTACTGACTTCGGTGACTAAGCTGAAAATGAACCCGCATTAACGCGGAGGGTCGACAGGTAGGCACATGGTCAGAAAAATGATAGGCACTTGTATAGTAAATATGTAGCGTTCGACAATTTTCCTGGAAAGTATTGCCGTCGTGCAACTTTGCGAAAACAGATTTTTTCTCAAAGAACGGCTGGCAGTTGGCAGTGCACGATGCATCGTTCCATGGAACGTCTTACTTTCATCTGAGGTCAGTCATAGCCGTTCGAACGGATCCATCAGTACACTCGGCAGGGGCAGATATTTCCAAGCCCGGCCCAGGCTGCCTCCATCGTGGCTGCTCCCCTCGTGTTTGACGACGTCATGAATAAGGGTCGTGCAAGAGGGTCACGTGGGCCCATGACGCTCACAGTGCAGTGCGCACTAAAACGCGCTGCCGCCGTCCTGTCCTGCCCCGGGCCGAATGCATAGCCATGAGGCTAACTAAAGGGCATGGGGGCTCGGCCGGACGGGGCGCACCGTGTGTGTGAGTGTGTGTCGCTCCCCCCGTGTCGGTGTGTGCAGATAGTAGATTCTCATTACAGCCCGCAGCACCAGCCCCCGGGGCCCAGCCGGCCCGGCCCCCCGGTGCAACAGAGCAGACCAAGCCCATCAATATGGAGGTCAGGTCCATCGCACATCCCCGCTGCTGACGCAGCCCCCCCCCCCTCCCCCTCCTGCTCCCCCCGGGGGCATGACGTCACGAGCCCGCCTGCACTTGGGGCTGCTGCTGCTGCCGCCGCCCCCCGGACAAAGTTTGACTGCGGCGGTGGCGCCGCGGCGGCACCGATATCCTCTCTCCCTCTCTCTCGCTCTCCGCCTCGGGCGTGTTGCACTGCGCCCGGGCCATGACCACCATACTATGACTATTCAGGGGAGTACACCGAGTTGCAGCGGCAGTATCCGGCTCCTCGCTCCGCTACGTGCCGGCCCGGCCCCCCCGGTCCCGAGCAGGGTTGTTAACGATACAAAAAAAAAGTATCGCGATACGTTACGATAATATTCAATCCGAGTTATCGTATCGCGATACTATACACCTCTGATCAAAAATGTAACGCGTTACGTTACGATATATCGTCGTAACGTCTTTACGATACAGTCTCGAACAGAAAAAGAGCTTTAAAACAAGAAAATTGGTGGTATGGCTCTACCCAGTCAACACGATGTCTGATTTTTGGGAGGAAAAGGGGAAAAATCTGAGGAACTCAGATGTTTGAAGGCACACTCTTTAGATTTTGAGGAAGTATCGTCAGACGGATCATAGGAATTTGCCTCATGTTGAGAAAAGATCTTAAAATCTGAGAAGTTTCTTCTCAGATGTGCTGGAGTTCGTCAAAGTTTTCCCTTTTTCCTTGTGATTTCCTGTCCGACTGTAAAATCACTTGTATCGTATCGACGTTACGACGTTACGGGTCCTCCATAACGTATCGCGTTACAATACACCGTCGGCCGAAAAAGTAACGCGTTACGATATCGATACAAAAATCGTATCGATATCGTCGTATCGTCGTTACACGATAAAATATCGTTAACAACCCTGGTCCCGAGCGCCACCAGCAGCAGAGCCTCCCCGGCCCACCAACACCACTGCTGCTGTTGTTGTTTCAGTTCAATTTTTAAGCGAGGGAAGTACTTCCCAACCTGCTGCTCCTCCTTCCCCTGGCCATTTTCCCTCTCGCCGCTGCATTACGGGTCACTCTCCCCCATCCCCCCCCCCTCTATCTCTCTCTCCTCCCCCGGGGACTGGCCTCGGGATGAGGCGGCCAAGGGCTAGGACCAGGGGTCCGGGGAGGAGGCTGCTTTGTCAACCCCATACGCAAAGCTGTGGGTGCCCGGAGCGTACCGTGACGCGTAGCGGCAGCAGTAGCAGCAGCAGCAGCAGTGGCGCTCTAAAAGATTCATAGGCGCCCGGGCCCGGGCGTTTATCCCCTCAGCGGTCCGCCACGCTCCGCCACCCCACCACGGCACGCCACCCCGTCAGCACGCGTCAGCAGCTCGCGGCACGCGGGGGGAGGAAGGGGGGCGAGCATTACCATAGGGTTACAACAACCCCTTCACCAGCAACACAGCCCTCGAGTAATAAAGCGAGTGTAACTTTACCAAAAGTTTACACTCGCGCAACATATACGGTCGAGGCGGCGGCATGACGACGCTGCTGCCACTGGGGTTGGCGCAATTTGCAACTTACTCGTTAGTTGGTCGGCATGCGCCGGACGCTTTCACAAAAAAAACAAACACAAAAAAAAAAAACATATGTGAAAAAGCTATAGGAAGTCATCATATCGCCTGTGGGAGCCATAACCCCAACATACACCCCTCACCACCACTTCATATTCCCTAGCCCCCCCCCCCCCCTCGGCGGGACCGGGCGCAGAGGCTGCGGCACTCTGCAAGCAGACTGTATATATATCGTTGTTAATTTACAATATTTATTGTATAACTTTTGATTTACAATCAATCGGAAACATAAATTCACGACAAGACCGTTACTGCCTGTTGAAGAATCGCAAGTGAATACTTCTGACTTCGGTGACTAAGCTGAAAATGAACCCGCATTAACGCGGAGGGTCGACAGGTAGGCACATGGTCAGAAAAATGATAGGCACTT